CCTTTTCTTCATAAAACTTCCCAGCAACTCCATCTTCCTTCACGGTCATAGATTTGTCAGCTGCCTTATACCCGGGTCTAGTCCAAGTATTTTTGAATTTGGCATTGTTGAATCTCCTTCTCCCATTGTTCACATGGATCCAAGGTCCATAGCCTTCTCTATCAACCTCATAGACACCTTCTTCCCTTGATCCTTCATTTCAATTTGCCTTATTAGAAACAGCTATTCCTTCATTGGTACTCTTGACTTGACTAGAAACCTGGCTGATTTCTGCATTGTCAACTGAGCATTTATTCTTCAAATGTCCAATCCTCCCGCATTTGAAGCAAAAATCTGAAATCCTTTCATACTCAATCTTTTGATAGAACTTACCCGAAATTTCCTCCACCCAAACACCCAAAGGCAATTTTTCTTCTTGCTTGATCCTAACACAAATTCTTGCAAACTCCTTTCTCCCCCATTGAAACATATTTTTATCAATTAAATAAGGGACCCCAACCTTCGAAGCAATTATGCATACATTAATTTTATCCCAACATTGTAAAGGGAGATTAGGCATCCTGATCCAGACAGGAGCCGTTAAACCATTTAAATATTTTTGGCTTGAACGAAGGAGACAATTTAACCAAACCAATGATATGCCCATTTACATACCAAGGTCCACTAGTAAGAACAGATTCAAGAGCTTTTGGGTCTTCAAATGCACATAATACCCATCCTCTTCCCAATAGAGTAATATGAAATTTCCCAAATTGGGTCCATTGCCTCCTTAACTCCACCCCAATGACGTGGTAAGGTATATAATCTCCAAACACTCACCACCAAAGATTTTAGCAATTTTTTTGTATTTTCTACCTCGTTTTGCATATGCAGTTTTACTACTCCATCTTCGGACACAATCTCCAAAATCAAAATCAATAGCTCTAAAATTGTTTTTTTTTTATTCCAGGCATTAGCTAGTACCTTACTCGATTGTGGAGGGATATCAGATGTCAAACCTTCAGCAACTTTGCAATTACCCAGATCAGCTGAAGAACATTCAAGAACCTTATTCAGAGAACCTTAATTCTGATGCATTTCACTATGATCCTAATGCAATTAAAAATTTGGGAGAGGGCTCCAAATTTTTGATGACAAAAGAAACTCTTTTTAGGAACAATGAAAAGACATAAAATACTCAAAACTTGACAAAATATAACTAACAAAACAAACAAAACTTTAATATTATAAAAGGACTTACAAACAAGGACTCTTACAAGACACCCTAAACTTGCTTACTTTGAGAAGAGGGATACAGGTGAGGTGGTCACTTGCGGCGAGACGAAAGAAATTAGAATCCGAGAAGAAGGGTGGAAAGAGCTCGCAAGATTTCCTAGAGGAGAAGAGAAGAAGAAGTGGACAAAGCACATAAGCTTTTCCAACAAAACCCGCAGGTTTACATTTCCAAAAATCATTCACATAACATTTCTAAAACAACCACAAACAATTCCTATTTATAGGCATGAAAGGGGGAATACAAACAGACACAACATTTAATTCCCATAGGAATCCAAACAACACAAGCCATGGAAAGGCCCCCTTGCTTTTCACGGAAAAACAGTCCAGCCAGGAAACCGAGGAAACAGCCACGGGAACCCAAGAGGCTGCACGGAACCGAGGCGCCAAAAGCCACGGGAAGGCCCCCAGTTCGGAAAACCAGTAGCCACCGTGAGAACCAAGGAGCCATGCACGAAAAACAGCAGCCAACGATGGAAGCCAAGGAGCCAGGGCATGGGAGAACAAATTTCTTTGGGATTCCAAAATGGCTTTTGGAATCCCAAGGGAAAACTTAAATTAAGACATAAAAATCTATAATAAAATTACATTAATTAAAAGATAACTATGAACTAAAACTTAGCTAATAATGAGCTAACCCTTAGTTCAATAAATAAACTAAAGACCAGCTCGTAAATGAGCTAAATTCCAGCTCAAATTGCATTGAGCTTGTAAGCTTAAGGGAAGTCAAATCCAACTTATTTTGGGTTTGAGTTGACCCCCCCTTGCCTACATCAGACTCCCCTTCTTGAGAACTCATATCCCAATGAGTTAGCTTTTGATTCTTCTGAGAAGGTGAAGACGGAGCATCCAACTCTTTGATCTTTTCTTCAAACTTTTTCAAAATGTCTTCTTGATCTTTCTCGAACTGCCTTTGTAGATATGTTTTCCACTTCTTGAATTTTTGATCACATAAGAACATGTGATATTGAAGCTTGTATAATTGGTCTTGAAGCGGATTAGTTGAATCACCTTCGGTAGGAATCATTATGTCCAACAGAAGAGGGACATCAGGATTATCTTGATTGATTTCCTCTATGAATGAAGCCATTTTTTTGTCATTTTCCATTTTTTTGTCATTTTCCATTTTTAGCCTTTACTAGAGGAGGCGCTATCGGTCCAGTGAATATCGCTTATTCTGGTGTTTATCAGTGGTGGTATACAATCGGATTACGCACCAATGGGGGTCCTTAACACTGCCGTTGCCAGGTCCCAAGTCCTGGATGAGAAAAGTGGAGGGTTGCGTTAGGTAGTCGACAGCCAGCGTAAAACTTGTCGAACAAAAATGACATGAATCCTTTAAGAAATTGTGTTAATGCTAGGGCGTCCCCTGGAAGCGACGCGCTGACTTGACTTGACAAACTTAAATAAAACTTGACAAACTAAAACAAAACTTGAAAACCAAATCTTAGTACTTCCTAACTTGCTCTGATACCAAATTAATGCAATCAAAAATTTGGGAGAGGGCCCCAAATTTTTGATCACAAAAGAAACTATTTATAGGAATAATATAAAGTCATAAAATACTCAAAACTTGACAAAATATAACTAACAAAACAAAACACAACTTTAATATTATAAAAGGACTTACAAACAAGGACTCTTACAAGACACCCTAAACTTGTTTACTTTGAGAAGAGGGATACAGGTGAGGTGGTCACTTGCGGAGAGACGAAAGAGATTAGAAGCCGAGAAGAAGGGTGGAAAGAGCTCGCAAGATTTCCTAGAGGAGAAGAGAAGAAGAAGTGGACAAAGCTTGCAAGCTTTTCCAACAAAACCCGTAGGTTTACATTTCCAAAAATCATTCACATAACATTTCTAAAACAGCCACAAACAATTCCTATTTATAGGCATGAAAGGGGAAATACAAACGGACACAACATTTAATTCCCATAGGAACCCAAACTACACAAGCCATGGAAAAGCCCCCTTGCTTTTCACGGAAAAACAGCCCAGCCAGGGAACCGAGGAAACAACCACAGGAACCCAAGAGGCCTCACGGAACCGAGGTGCCAAAAGCCACGGGAAGGCCCCTAGTTTGGAAAACTAGCAGCTGCCGTGAGAACCAAGGAGCCATTCACAGAAAACAACAGCCAACCGTGGAAGCCAAGGAGCCACGGCATGGGAGAACAAACTTCATTGGGATTCCAAAAGCCATTTTGGAATCCCAAGGGAATACTTAAATTAAAACATAAAAAACTATAAGAAAATTACATTAATTTAAAGATAATTATGAACTAAAACTTATCTAATAATAAGCTAATCCTTAGTTCAATAAATGAAGTAAAGACCAGCTCATAAATGAGCTAAATTCCAGCTCAAATTTCATTGAGCTTGTAAGCTTAAGGGAAGTCAAATCCAACTTATTTTGGGTTTGAGTTGAACCCTCCCCCCCCCCCCCTTGCCTACAACAGATCCACCACTCCAGAAGACATTGCTTCCGCAACTGCTACAGAAGCTTCGCCGGATACTGCACCACCGCAAAACGATTCTTCATTTCCCCTTCTAACCGAGTAATCAGAAGATATTATTTCCTTCAACAAATCGATATCGTTTTTAGCACCAGAATTTTGAGAAACTCCATCAGAGGTCCGAAACATCCAACATTACTTTCTTGCCCTTTCCAATGCATTCCATAAGTTTTTTTGGCTGAAGTAATCCACCCTCATTAATCACTAGAGGAGCAGCCGATTTGAACCTTGATTTAGAATCAAATCAAACGCCAAGTTTGCATCACCGAAAGCGGGAGGAGATGACCCGAGATTAGATTGAGGAAGAATACGACTAGCATTTATTGATGAACGCCGACCATCACTGGCGTCGGAGGACGGAGACCGACAACCATCCACCGTCATCGGCGGATTGCGAGCTTTGCGGGAAACCGAAATTCAAAACGAAAAGTTTCTCTTTAAATTTTCCTGGATTTTCTCTCTTGGTTACTTCAAATATATGAAAATTTTAAATTCTCATATGAATCTATAACAAAACACTTCTCGACATTGCCATGTCACGTACTTCTGACTACTGCTGAGCAACTTATTTATTGTATAGCATTTATATTTCTTGAGATGATATTTAAAGCCGGCGTGACATAATTTTATATTAAGAGTTTTTTTTTCATAAAAATTAGTACTATATTTAATTGAGCTAGCATATCACATGCAAGTTGTATTTTTTGTTTATGCAATCCCAAATTCAGACTTCAGGTATTGCACTGGTAAGGCTATTGCGCATCCCCCAGTCTTCAAAGGTCATATTGGTGAAGCGTTATGCATTGGATATGCCTTCTTTAAAACTAAGTCCTTCAGAACATCAGACATTTATATTTATAAGTTAATCTCCTTATTTTAGTACTAAACTGCTTATTTCTCTGCAGATTACTTTTTTACTTTATCTCCATGGTTAAATAAATTATTCTTGAGAAAGATATTATAATACTATGAATATAAGTTATCAACGTAGCTGTCCATATGCAGTGATGTGGATTTAGTTGTAAATTAGCTTGGGATTTAATGAACATAAAATCTGCATATTAGCAATGAAAAATTGAAGTTGGAAGATGCCTAAATGTGTGTATTTGTTATCGAAGTTCAAGAGAACTGACTGTATCGTGTTGTGCATTGTTTCAATTTCTATAATTCCTCATAGATCACTTTTTTCAACTCTTAACCTTCTTTTTTGTTTAGGGTGTTCTGAGTCCAAAGACATTATCAAATTTTGAGAGTGTCAGGGAGATTTGTGTTAGTGTAGCTGCTTCAGTTCGTGATGTTTGCAAGGACAATCCGGACAGGGGTGTTGACCTCATACTTTCTGTGTCGGTATGGCCTAACCAAAACTTGTTTTCATATATTAATCATTTGTTTGTATTTAACATTTTTTGGTTTGATATGTTTTTCAGTCATGCATTGAGAGTGATGATTCCGCTGTGAAAGCTCTTGGCCTGCACAGTCTTTCTTCGCTCTGTGAAGCTGATGTTGTTGGTAAATTCTTTGACTATAGGTGTAGTAGCGCTGCTATTTGTGCCATATTGCAGTTCAGAAAATACGTACTATTCTTATAGCTAATCAAGCTGGAAGCTGTGCTGTGCCTGACTTGGCTAATCCATAAATGGCATGATCATTGGAACCATGCATTGAGCTTGTGCTGTCTGCTTTTAACTGAAGTGCTTTACCTCCCAAAATATCCTGTTCTTTTCTATGGTTTATATCATCAACATTCATAGGGAATGATAGATTAACTGTAGCACTAAGGTTTAGGCAATCCAACTAAGTAAGTTTTTTAACTTTTCTTTATGGCTTGGATAGATTTGTTGGGCTTATTGAAAAGAACAGTAGTATGTTGACCTCTCTATATATATTCCACGATCAATTTGAACGAGTGCGATGTGAACAAAACTCAATCGATGCGACGAAGAGTGAAATGAACGTGAAACACATTGTTCATTGTTAAAATTGCTCAAAACGTTGTCCATTTATAGAACATGCTATATTGACATGTTTATAGTGCTGAATTCATCAAGACAGCAATGCTTGCATACAAGATGACTAAGCGATGATAAGCAATGATTTACAGATGTGGCCTTGTGTGGCGTTGCCTAAATGTCATTCATTTGCGAAACGGACTTCGTCAATGCTTTCGGAATATCAAAATTGTCTTGAAAAAATATACATATTTCTAGAGTACCAGAGTAATTTGAAATTCAAAGCTTGTCTTTAACATTGGTTGCCACCTAGATGTCGTCGTTTTGCGCTTCCCTAAGGCTGATTACTCTCCCGCATAACCCCCCGATGACAACTACTCCCTTTACTCACAGAAATCCACCTCACCGCCTCAACTCCCTTCCAGCTTTCCCGTCCCAAACAACCTTCAGTATGTAACCTGTCTGTCCACATGCAGCCGTTCTGTTGCCTGCAAGCCATATATGACCCTGACTTTCCACCTTGCTCCATGATGTAGAATTAGATGCGTATGTAAATATTCAATGTTGAAATTAAACGCCTTAGATTAGAGCAACAATAATTGTTCTAATTTATAGCGAATTCAATAGAGATTAAATACAATGAGAGGGATGATGTAGCTTAGGCCAAATTACACGATAATCGTTTAGGATCATAACATTAACTAATTCAATCAAGCTTAGCATAATATGAGGGATTTTCAAAGGAAATCCATAAATTAACATTTAAACTTCTCACTAGGTTGGTCCACTCACTCACACTCTTAATAAATTTGCTTGCGGAGAAAGTTTACACAATCTTTATGATGCCACAATTGAAGGGGATTTAAAAGGTACAAGGAAGGGAAATAATTTACCAACAAGGAAGAAGATTCAAAGCTCAGGTGAAGTCGTTTGGTTGCTTATGAGGAGAAATGGCTACACAACCCTTCCCACATGCTTTAGGCAATAGTACGACAATTCTGAATGTTTGGATAATGATCGAATAGTTCACGGAAGTCGGGACAACGAACTAGACAAGTTATGGACAGCGGGACAACAAGTTGTCACGTGTTGGAACATCCGGTCAGCGAGCTAGGAGGTCCTGGACAACAAGGCAGCAAACTATTGCGGGCACGAAATTCTTGACAGCTAATAGGATGATTTACGGATGTAGGACAACAGTCTTGGTGCAGGAGAAAACCTATAATAATTGATGTACATGTGGGAGGGATGTTAGGGAGGCTAATTCAAAGTGGAGGGGTGGAGGTAGGGGCCGGCCATAGTGGAGGGAAATGGAGGATTTAGTTGTAGAACATGTATTTGAATCAAAGAGAGAGAAATCTGAAATTAAATTCAGATTTAAGGGAGGAGATAATTAGAGAACTTGGTTTTAATTTCCCTAAAATGAAAGACGGAAAGAGGGAATAAGGGGGAGGGGGTGGCTAATTGTCTTCTTAATAGGAGCTCCCAATTGGGAAGGAAACAATTAGAGAGAGAGAGAGAGAGAGAGAGAGAGAGAGGAAGTCCACATATGTTGAATGTGTCCACATGCGATGAATGTGGATTTAAAATCAAATTTTAATTAATTTCAGATTTGCAAAAATTGGGGGCTTTCCTAAAATAGGTTTATATCAATTAGGAAGGGCTTGAAATTCGAATTCATTTGAATGTGAATTAGAGACCTTCTAAATTAATAATGTGATAAATTAGGAAAGTAGTAAATTTGGGTAACTTTGGGATCTCGGGATGGGGGAAATGGTGGTCAAAAGACAAAAGTAATCATCATCCCCTCTCAAGAAGAGAAAAGGGATATAAATAACCAAGTATAATATTAAACATCAAAAGACAAAAGTGCCCCTTAGGCGTCACAATAACCTACTCTCTCAAGTGAGGGTAAAATCAGAAACAATACATTAATAAATAAAAATACAATTAATAACTCAAAAATAAAGGGATGCAATCGTGGCCGTTGATTTTCGATCCCGTCTCTGATAAAACTTCCACTGTCGAATGTCCTCATCACTCCAACTGTCGGACAACCTACTTGCCTCATAAAACATCCCATCCTTGCTTCCACCTCCAACCTTCTTTGACTAAAGCATATCATACTCTCTCGATTTTCCTCCACTTACAACCAAATAGCCTCCTGACAAGTCTCAATTGAATCCACTCTGCTTACACACAAAATACTTGCTCCTCCCAAGAACAAACTCTAAGCAAGTTTAAACTCCAAGCTAGCAAATAAAAACCAATTTCACTCTATCTTTTACCTTTTTCTCTCTTGGTTTTTATAGATATATATATATTATAAAAAAGATCAGAAAATAAAAAGATTTAACAAAAGAAGAATTTTTTAATTGCCAAAAATATTTACTACCACTGTCGTTGTCGTCTCCCGTCTTGTGAAGGTATAACTTCCTAGAACTTAAAATATTTATCAGGTAAATGAATACCTACTTGTCCCTTTTTGTCGTGGTGGGATATAAGATCCACAACCGAGGTATCTCATAACACCATCACGTCTTTTTAAGTGTAGTGGGCATGCCAAGACTCCCCTCAAATTTCTCACAACACCACCACGTCTTTTTAAGTGTAGTGGGCATGCCAAATGTTTTAGTGTGCAAGGAATTAAAAAAAAGCTTAAATAGGTACCCGAAGACCCACTCACATATTTCTTGGCATGGTGAGATTGAAGACTTACGGCCGTGGTGTCTTGCGACATCACCCACTTGTGTATTTTTTGACATGGTGGGCAGGCTGATGTAGGAAAAGGGGGGTCAACTCAAACCCAAAATAAGTTGGATTTGACTTCCCTTAAGTTTACAAGCTCAATGAAATTTGAGCTGGAATTTAGCTCATTTATGAGCTGGTCTTTAGTTCATTTATTGAACTAAGGGTTAGCTCATTATTAGCTAAGTTTTAGTTCATAGTTATCTTTTAATTAATGTAATTTTATATCTTAATTTAAGTTGTCCCTTGGGATTCATTTTGAAATCCCAAGGATGTTTGTTCTCCCGTGCCTTGGCTCCTTGGCTTCCACGGTTGGCTGCTGTTTTTCGTGCAAGGCTCCTTGGTTCTCACGGTGGCTGCTAATTTTCCAAACTGGGGGCCTTCCCGTGGCTTTTGGCGCCTCGGTTCTGTGCAGCCTCTTGGGTTCCCGTGGTTGTTTCCTCGATTCCCTGTGGCTGTTTTTCCATGGCTTGTGTTGTTTTGATTCTTATGGGAATTAAATACTGTGTCCGTTTGTATTCCCCCTTACATACCTATAAATATGAGGGGTTATGTAATGTTTTGAAGAGTGATATATGAATTTTTGAAAAGAAATCTGCGAATTTTCTTGGAGAAGCTTGCGAGCTTTGTCCACCTTCTTCTTCAACCTCTAGAAATCTTGCAAGCTCTTTCCACCCTTCTTCTTGGCTTCTAACCTCTTTCGTCTCTCCGCAAGTGACCACCCCATATGTATCATTCATCTCTAAGTGAAGCAAGCTTAGGGTGTCTTACTATTAGATTCAAGTTTTGCGCAATTCATGCGTTTCCGTTTTTATGACAAGAAATTTTGTCTTGATTTCCATTTCAAGTCGTTTAATTTTAATCTGTGTTGTAAGTTTTGTTTTTTTAATTTATAAGTCTTTTTTAGATTTGAAATGTAAGAGTTTGTTCGTCCTATTTCATAGGAGTTCCTTATTTTCGTTACTCTTTGTGGTGAGGTCCTTGGATCCCCTCATCCCCCGGAATTTGGCGCGTATCACAGGCCTACCTCTGTCACGAGCCAGTTCGAATGGTCGATTTAACGAGGCGGGAACACAAAGTCGTACGGTTGAATAATTCAATACAATTCATACGCAACACAACATACAACTTTCTCTAAAACAACTGAAGAGCCACTATTTCATAATTTTCTCGAATACTTAACATTTGTATAAATCATAAAATACCTGTTTTCATTTGCACGCCGTCTTCTATAGACGTACTTCTCCCTTTCAGTCATTTTTAAATATTTGGAGTCTTACATAAAAATATTTATTTAATAAAACGAGTTTGCAAAATAAACTCAATGGCTAACTGTTAAAACAATTAACATAAAAAATATACAATATGTATAACCTTTAATATACGTCTATTTATTTAACATTTAATATACATTCCCTTTCTTATCTTGATTTCATTCATTTCAGTCATTTATGCATATTATCTAGTATTCGTTTATAACATTTATAATACTTTAATATGTATTCCTTTTCCCATTTAATTTGTACAGGAGCACCATCTAAATATATCAAAGGTACAACCATTTCTATTTTCTTTTTCTTTTTCATAACTTTTTTTTTACGTACACGTTTACGTTGCTTCCCTAGTCAGTACCATACGGGGGTAAACTCATATAAAATTTTGCATGCTTACCCTTTTCCCTTTTTCCATTTATTTCATTTGTTCATATATTATTTCTTTAATATAATTTCTCTCTATTTCTTTTATAGATATACTTTTAACATACATTTTCTTTCACATTTCCTACACTTGCATATACATTTGTTCGTTTCA